GAGAGCCCGGCTCGCGCCGTCCCTACTACACCTCGCGAGCTTGCACGCCCGGTCACTGTCCTCCCGGCCGTCCTCGCGTCCTCCAGGCTCCACCTGGACCAGTGATTTCTCGGCGCCGAGGCCCCCGGGGCTGCATCTGAGCCTCTGCAGCCCGCTGCCGCCGCCTTGGCTGCCACTGCTCTCCTGCTTCCCCTCCCCCAACTCCCGGGGCTCGGAGCAGGAGGAGGAGGGGCCGGTGCATTCTTGCCGCGGCTCTTTGCAACCTGCGGGGGCCGGTGCATACCCTGCGAGGCTTCCGGGCCGCTGCAGGTGCGTGCAACCCCAAACGAGACGACCCCCCAACACCCCCGGGCAAACCCGGGGGCTGCAAGCTGCCAGCGGGCGGTCGAACGAGAGGAAGCAACAAAGACAGGCTGCAGCCGGCGAGAGGGGCCGCGGCCGCCAAGATCCCAGTGTGGGCGAAGAGGGCGCCCCGGGGAGCAGCGCACGGCCGAGCTGCAGCCTTGAGCGGGACCCCGAGGGGAGACGCAGCGCCGCCCGCCGGACGCGGTGAGCACAGGCCTGGGCGAGGATGCGCCGCCTGAGCGCCCGCGCGGCCCGGGTCCCGGGCGGGCGCGACCCCCGTTGAGCCGAGAGACCCTTCACTCCCGACTTCGGACGGCGCGGGCCGGCGCCTGGGTCGCCCTAACCGACAGCGTCCCTTCCTACCCGGAGAGAGGTATCGGCCCCCAAGAGGGGCTTCCTCAGGCAGTCCCTGCCACCTCTGCATGGCTGCAACCCTGCGAGCGGAGAGTCGTCGCTGCTGAGACCTGGTGCCCTCCGACGGCCTGGCTGATCTGGTGAGTTCTGCGGGGCGGGGTTCTGGGTTGGAACTGGTGCACCCCCTGGTGTAGGGGCAGCTAGATTGGAAATAAAGGGGCCCTGGACTTTTGGGGACACTGAAGCAGCAATGCTTCTTGACCGCCCCCTTCCTTCCCACACACAACTTGTCTAGACTTGCCAACCGGCCAGAGTGGAGGTTGCGGGCCCGTTGTGGGGACTCTGCTGGGCCCCGGGGTGCGCATATGTCAGAGGCCACCCCACCCCTAAAGCGGGGTAGCGGCTCCGTCTTCCGAAAATTCCTCAGAAACTCCCGCGTCTTGGAGTGTTTGAGGAGTGGAACACCCAGGATGGGACAGCTTGGGGTTCTCTCAAATAGCCTTTGAGATCTTTCAGGGACATCAGCTCTGAGTGGTATATGGAGTCTCATGGATGCATGTGGCCGGCTGCTTTTGAGGATTGTGCTCTCTGAGGCTAAACCATAGCAGGGTCCCCTTACAGACTGTTCCGACAAAAAAACTCACAGAGAGAGCGGGTGCCCAGTGGGGGCTCGAGGTGATGTCACTACCAGGCCTCTGATGCCACTGGGGTTGCCGTGGCGATGGAACTTGCCTTGACCCAAGGCTGGAGGGGGCAGGGCTGGATGCCTTTGGGTAGTGGAGGGATGAAGGCAGACTCCCTCCACCCCTACTACAGTCCTCTGACCTAAATCCCCAGCGCCCTGATGAAGTGGGGGAGGGAGGCAGCTCCAGCTGTCCCTTCTGATACTCCTCCCCAGAAGGACAGGTGTTCAGCTTTGGACATAGAGCCTGGCAGTGCCTGGGGCCTTAGGATTCCCAAACAGAACAACTTTCTGCTTTCAAAAGAGATACAAAGACCACCTCCCTGAACCCCACACACCCAGCAGGCCTAAGTTCCTAGAGTCCCCAGAGAACTATGGGCTCCCTGCCTTAAAACAGGCTACTTTTGCTTAGGAAAATGTGGCTGCCCCACCCCCAGCCAGAAAAGGTGCAGAGGAGCTGCTGCCTGCTACCCCTCAAGTTCAGGGGGTTCTCTGCTCTTTAACGCCAAGATGAGAGGCTTTGGCCAGTCCTGAACTCCTGATTGCCCCACTCCTTTTGGTGTTTTAGATGATTTGACAAGCTCCATGTGGCACTCATTAAGTGAATGGAGAGCAAGTCAGGCCCATCCGTGCCAAGGTCTGAATAAAGCGTGTCTCTGCCAAGGGGCCAGCTTTGATGGAGGTCAGGCACTAGCCCTCTCCTCCCCACCACACCTCAGCACTAGCCCCGTTTCTTGTGAAGGCCCAGAGAGCCCTCAGGCAGCATCCTGCTGCTGGCTTTTTGATTCCTCTTCTAAGTTCCTTCCAGCCATTGTCGATGTGGGTGAAACTGCTGTGATCACATTTCTAGGAAAAGGTTAAAGAACTGTGTCATTGCTTCAGCAATGTGGGGTGGGGTGAGAGCAGAGGGGAGTGTATGTCAGGTCATGATGAGAAGCCAGGTCCCATTTCTATGCAGCGAGCATTTTTTCTGTTCTACCAGGCTCTCTAGCTAGATTAACAGGTCAATAAATATCAGTGGAGCTGCTTTTGGGGGCTTGGCAGAGAGATGATATTTCCAGCCGAAATGGTGTCGTTAAACACTCAGGCTTCCAAGGATAGAGGAGCAATAGCAGATGGGGGGAGAAGTGGGAGAGGTGGGCAGAAGGGCTGTTTGCGCTGCCTCTCGAAGCTTCCCAGTTTAGAAACAAACTCAAGTGCGCGCCAGAGATCCACAAACACAGGCAGTTGGAGGTCCTTCGTGGAGTATTTACACTTCCACAGCCAATGCTGTCAGAATTGGGCGATTCCTTCTGTTTCCTTCCCTGGGCTTGGCAATAGCACCAGGAGACACGCAGGATGGAGTGCCAGCTTACCCAGCGTCTTCCTACATGTCAGGCATTTTATAGGATCGCAGTTACAACTTGCAGTGGCTCATGTGCTGGGGCCCATTATACAGATTAGGAAACTGAGGCTCAGGTAGAGGAAGTGATGGGCTGCAGGTGCTCAGCCGGGCAACCACAGAGGTTCAGCTGTGAATTGTACTGGCTCCAGAGTCCCCAGGTTTTCCCACCCCCTTACATGGGTGGAAGGGAGGCACCCCCACTTGTTGGGCAGGGTTCCTGCAAGGGCCAGACTCTGGCTATAGAGGGAGTCTGGCCTCACCTGGATGCCTTGCCACACTGAAACCCAGGTTGGAATCCTGCTTCCCTATTACCTATAGAACAGGCTGAGCAGAGTAGTTACTTCTGTCCTGGCCTTGTGAGCAGCCTGCTCCCCTCATCCCCCTGTACCTCTTTCTCCAGCACTGAGGGAAGGAAGGTATGGCTTGAAACCTGCCTGCCAGGAAGGGTTGAGAGCCAGCCCCTAGGCTACTTGTCATCTGCTCCCCACATGGGCTTACCTGGGGTGGGTTGGGAGGCCAGCCTCAGCCATCTCAGGGACCCCCTTGGTAGACACCCAGCTGGTGGGGAAGGCCAGAATGTAGATGGGGCAAGGGCAACTTTAGTAGATCAGGAAAGGCCCTATAGGAATAGTACCATGTCCCTCTTAGGACAAATAGGGATCCGCCAGGCAGAAAAGTGGAACGAGTGTTCTGGGCAGTGGGAGTGGCCAGGTAGCATGCTTGGAAGTGCTAGGGTGTGCTCAATGAGGGGAAGAGGTGGCCCTGGGGTGGCCGTATCCTGGAGGCTTAGGTGAGTGGGGGAGGTTAAAGCAAGGGAGAGGATCCAGGTAGGGCTCCCTTGACAAGGATGGTCACCCTGGACATTCCTGTGGGTCAGCGTGGGGGGGCCTTCTCAGCCCTCTGGACAGTCCCTTCTCAAGGTTAGCTCCCCATCCCCCACCCTCAGTAATCCTTATCACTTGTCTAATTCCATGTAAGCTCACCCATCCCCTATTACCTCTGAGCTTCACATTTGCTCTGGAAGGGTGCTTGGCTGGGTTACTTAACCCCCAGTGATGGAGTGGGTCCAACTGTATGTTGGCTGTGTGACTTCGGGTGAGTAGCTTTGCCTTTCTGAGCCTCAGTTTCCTCATCTGAGAAGGAACTGATAATAGCACCCACTACCCAGGTTATGGTAAGGATTCAGGGAGGGCTTAGAACAGGTGGTGACATACAGTAAGCACTCGATAAATGCACATTCTTGTGGCCTCATCCTCAGAACAAGGCCTTGAATGGCTCTCCCAGTCCCTCTTAGAGCCAAAGATGAAAGACCTTAGGGCAGGTCCCGGACCCCCACCCTTCCAAATGCCTCTGCTGGGTCTCCCACCCACCTACCCAGGGCACTCCACATGGTGAACACACGTGGCTTCAATCTGAGCTCCTGATGGGACACCAGGGCCTGGCCAGGGGGCCAGAGGTTAGGGCCCCTCCCCAACCTCTCTCCTGCCCCTTCTGCCTTCCAATCCCTCACAAACCGGAGGAAGCTAGCGAAGCCACTCATATTCATGAACCGTAATTCAATCAGGCAGCGATTCCTCTGGGCTCGGAGTGGGGGTGAGAACGAAGAGGCACGCACAAAAGGGCCGCTTTATTACCTCCCGCGGGCCGGGAATTGCTGCTCTCCCCTAGCAGCGGCCGGAGCCGCCTTTATTGTGTTAACCCATTTGCGTGTCAAGAGCTATTGTGCGCTTTCTCTGCCTGTGCGGGGCGGGCTGCGGGAGGAGGGCTGCGCGCGGGCCGGTCACCTCCGTGGGCGCCGCCCACCGCCCTGATTGGTTGCTAAGTGATTTGCATCCAAGGTAATCACTTTTATCTCAGAAGGATGTCGACTATAATTATAAGCTACTGACATCTTTTGAAATCTGCCTAATGACTATTTTAGTTTGCATGGGTTGGGGGTGGGGAGGGGGATTCTGGAGACTGGAGGTAGGGAGGAGTCTGGAAGGGGGATGGATTCCTTCCACCTGGACCACTGATCCGTTAGTTGAGAAATTTCTGAGGGCCTACTGCGTGCCTCGAACAAAAGAGGGTGCAGAGGCGTAGATATTGCATTCCTGTGGGCAGTATTAGTGCCATTTCAGAGATGGGGAAGTAGAGGCACTGGGGAATGAGCCACCTGCCCAGAATCGCATTCTCAATAAGCCAGACTCCAGCTGGAACCTTAGTCTCTCTGACTCCCAAATTCCTGTGCTGGCCACTGAGTGGGGTGCAGACAGAAATAATAATGGTAGTCCATCCTGGGTAGAGGTCACCTCGCTGATCCCTCCCAGGGCTTATGTTATAGGCCTAAGAAATGCAAGTACTGTTACTACCCCGTTTTGCCATGGAGAAAATAGGCACAGGGAGGTTATGTCACTGCCCAAGTTCACACAGCCAGGGAGTGGCAGAAGTACGAGATCTGTTAGTAGCCAAAAGTGGGGTTCTGGCTCCCGCCTCCTCAACCCTCTTGTAGTTCCACTTGGTAAACCCCTGACATCAGCCTGGGCCAGGGCACCCTGCTGGCCCCTCTCTGGGTGGCAAAGCCCTAAGGAATCAGATGGCCTACAGCCTCCATTAGGAATTAGATGAGTCTGCAACTAACTCGGATTCTGGACAGAGCCAGATCAGGTCTGGAGGAGAGACATCAAGGAGGGAGAAACTGCAGCTGGCCACAAAGGGCTTCCTGACGGGTGGCGGTGGGGGTGGGTGGGGGTGTTCGTTCTGGGTTCTGAAGACTGGGTGGAACTGCGCAGTGTGAAGTGAATGGAGATGTCACTGAGGAGGAAGTTTGAGAACTAAGGGGAATGACCAGGAAGGGCAGGGGAAGCTTATAAGATGGTGGAGATAAAAGGGAGACAAACTGGGAGCATGTATAGAGCCTTGAGTGTGATTAGGGTGGGACCTTGGCTCCTTTACTCTCACTGGCTGTGGGTGCTCAAATTTTCTTGCAGACTTATGGGTGGGATGAGCTTGAGTGTGCTGAGTGCTCTAGTCAGCTTGACTGAGCCTTTCAGAGCTGGATGGGCCAGGCTCAGGGTCCCGGCCCCACAGCAAAC